TGCCTTTTTAAATAGTGAACACTCTTCTTTGGTACAATATGCTGTTGCTAAGGGAGCAACTGGGTGAAGAAGAATCCATCTTCAGAGGTATCCGTGATTTTATAAATGGCATTACCTTGAGGGAATGAAATTTAAGCCATGCCAAAGGACTAGAATATATTCAGCCAGAAATCCAGCAAAGTTCCAAAGCTGTTCTTGCTGGATGAGCACTAAGCTTGCTTTGTGGCCGGTCCCCATTGTTCATCCCTGCGCAGTGATTGCTCTGATGATGGGAGCTCTTTACAGACTTTTGCTCACAAAGGCCAGGTGTGAACACAAGTCAGTGGAAGTCTGTCCCCTGTGACTTTTGTTCTTGTTTGTCCCCATGTGCGTTTTGGTCTGACACTCTGTTTTCACAGCCTCTGTTTTAACACTTTCCATGCCATCCAAAATGGTTTTCCCAGTCTGTTCTCCCTTTCTGTACTATCACTGCATCATTGGTAAAGCAGAATGATCGAAGACAGGAGATGGAAATTCTCCTGGCAAGGGCTGGGGAAGAATCAGGAAGAGGAAGCCTGCCTGAACTGAAAGGCACTCCATGGGAGATGGGCATACTGCTCTAAGCATCTGTCCACATCTTTAGATGCCTACGTGCTTCCACATGCTTGATTCCAGTTCAGATTCATGACTAACCCTGCAAATAGCAGGTCATACCTTAAGACAGCTTGTGACTTATGGCTCCTGTCTCCTTTTTAAAATTTATTTTAAGAAAGAAAAGAAAATCTTTTAAAGAAGCCTATAGCTGAGGGGTAGGGACACTTGAATCCTTAGTCTTCCAGTGTTAAATACTGGCCATTTTTCATTACATTGGAAGCAAACATATTACTGTCTCCATGTTAACTGCCAAATGTAAGCAACTGGCCTAACTTCTTGGCTCTCTGTCAAGACAAATTCTGTCAGGTTTCATTTATTTGTGTGTTCTGGTACAGCTGGCAGTGAAACTGCCTTGCCTGCCAGCCCTCATGTTAAAATTCCCCCCAGCTGAGTCAGGCTATCTCACTGATACACACCTTGACCAGCTTCTAAGGCATCTCTAGTAAAAACAGCTTTGCAAATAACGGGGATGGCTGACACAAGACAGACTGTTCCAGGTCAGACTCTGAAAAATAAAATGATTCCCACTCCTTTGATATTTTGAAAATCAAACACGCTGAACTTCTGGTCTTGAGTGCTGTTTTTCATGAAGGCTTGAGATGTGGTTGAAGAATCTGACTGCATTCACTGTAGCTATGAAGAAGCCTGAGTACAGCTTAAGGGAGTGAGATGGTTACATGTCAGATAGGCTATAGAACCTCTGGCTTTCCAATAGCAAAGGCCCATACTACCTCACATACAGACTGCCTTGGTCTGCACCACTAAGCCATTGCCAGTGCTGCAGACAGAAAAGGTCCAGGAGCTTTGCTGCTTCTCCTCTACATCTTTTTGTGCAAGGAAGTTAAAACATATCTTCTCCTCATCAAACAGTTGTGCATATGTATTGGAAGTGAAATCAAAGCAAGGAAAGCAAAGCTAAGAACACAGACAGGATAACTTGTGACTAAGAATTACTGGCTTTTGACCCAGCTTTTATTTATAACAGATTCATGGGAAATCTAGAATTGTTTCGAAACAATGCCAATTCGTAAATTTTAGAATTGTTCCTAGACAAGGGAGGAAGATTAGATCATATACTAGGAAGTCTCAAAACAGGGAATTTGCTACAATCCCATCATCCCTAAGCTTAAAAAAAAAATGTTACTGACATGGTCTATTAGTAATGAAGTGAGATTTCCTAGAGGCTGGATGTTAAAGTCCTTCTGCCCATCACCTAACTTTGATGGGAACGTAATATACAGCTCATCTTCTCAAGCTAGATAATAGAATCATAGAATCTTAGAACATATTGGGTTGGAAGGGACCTTTTAAGGTCAACTAGTCCAATCCCTTCCCTGCAATGCGCAGGGGCATCTTCAACTAGATCAGGTTGCTCAGAGCCCCACCTAACCTGATTTTGAATGTTTCCAGAAAGGAGGTACCACCTCCCTGGGCAATCTGTGGCAGTGTTTCACCATCCTCAGTGTAAAAGATTCATTTCTTATATCTAGTCTAAATCTACCCTCTTTTAGTTTAAAACCATTAGCCCTTGTCCTGTTGCAACAGGCCCTGCTAAAATGATTGTTTCTTTCTTTCTTATAGGCCCCTATTAACTATTAAAAGGCCACAATAAGGTCTCCCTGGAGCCTTCTCTTCTCCAGGCCAAATAACCCCAACCCTCTCAGCCTTTCCTCATAGGAGAGATGTTCTGTCCCTCTGGTCATCTTCATGACCCTCCTCTGGATCCACTCCAACAGCTCCACATCCTTCTTGTGTTGGGGGCTCCAGAGCTGGACACAGTTACTCGAGGTGAGGTCTCACCAGAGTGGAGTAGAGGGGCAAGATCACCTCTCTCAATCTGCTGGCCACGCTTCTTTTGATGTTTCTTTTGATTCTTTAGCTCTGTCACCATAACAGATTGCAACAACGTATTAGGTCCAGAATACCTTCTTAAATATTTTTCCAATATTGAGTGAATTAGACAATGTTTTGGGTTTATGTACAAGGGCAGTGATTATGCTGCTTGTGCAATTTGAACAGTGATGGAACAAATTAATCTGCAACTGCACCTAGAAAAAGCATTCCAGAAATCATTGCACATTAGAACTGATCAGCATGCCCATCATCTTCCAGTGAATGCCTTGGTGTGCACTCTTGCTCTACCTAGTGGATTTGGAACGTATTGAAATGCCATTTTCTAAACTTGGAATAACATTTTTCTACTCCTGTGTTCATACCCTTCTCATTATTATTTTTGATGATGGTTTTGATGAATATGACTGTTACTGTTGTGAGCAAGAGTACCATGTGATTGTTCTGCCTTTCAATATTTGGACAAAAGAATGAACTCCTTGAATGTTGTTCTTCCCTGAAGAAAAATTATTTGGCATATAAAAATAACATTGTTTCCTATCCCAATTTATGGACAAAAGTTTGTATATTTGAAAAGAACAATCAGAAACCAGGACCAAGGTGTCATTTATTACTCACTTTCTGCCTACCAGTTAACTCTCTGTCATCAAGTATTTCCCTGCAACATAGGTGGCTCCTGAGAAGGTGATCTGGGAGATCTATTCCACTCTATAACTTCATAAGCCCAGGTGAACTGAAATCTGATTTTGGCCTCCTAATTCAGCCTGAAATTTCAAAAGCATGGACATATGTTATCGTTCACCTTGAACTGTTTTACCTTTTAGAGAACTCACAAGGAAACAGGGGCACAGGTTCAGTGCTGTCCATCCTTCCTTGGTCTAAGGAGACTCACACTTTCCAAGAGACTGTTGCAATAACAAATAAAGACGCCTTTCACCCCTCCTTTTAAAACTGGGCCATTATGCAGGAAGAAATGCAAAAGTCTGAAGTCAAAGGGCAAGACAAGTCCTGATTCTGTGGCTTAACACACGGTTTCCCAAATGCCATTTGTTGGATACCACTGTTGGAAGCAGCCTTCTGTATTTCCCCCATGCCTAAATTCAGGACCACAAACATCATCACCTAAACATTATCACCATTTCCTCCCAATCCCAGATCTGCTCCCCTTCTTGCAGTCCCATCATTCTGCTTCATAGTCACATTGCTCCTTAAGACTCCCAACCCATGGCTGAAAGCTCCACATATTCCCTTCTATGCCTTGTCCTACCCAAACTGGTTCTTCAACCACAATGTCATCTAAAGCACACCCCTACCTCAACAACCCCATTCCTCTCACCTTCCCCAAATGAAATTTTTCCCGTGGCCTTTAGCAGAAACACGTCCCAGACTAGTTAATGTAGGCAGATGAGAAGAAAAGCAGGGGAGGTCTGGAAGCTGGACACAGCTTCATACATCAATAAGTTAGTGTCCAGCCAGTGACAGCAGCCGCTGCGTGAAGGCTCCTACTCTGATTTGTAAAAGATGTAGGCAAACCCAGCAGCTGTTCAGATTGTTTTTTCTTGGCTTACTTGGAACACAGTGTGGGAACGTCTAGCCTACTGATTCAGACTTTCATGTCACAAAGGGCAGATTTTGTTCCAGTCCTTGATCCTCAGGTCATGTCTGCTTCTTGTCCATCAGTTCTGTGTAAAATGCATATACAGTCTTAGGCATGAACTCCACTCAAGCTGTTGTCGCCTGGCTAAGTGCTTAAGGCTGTTCTTCTCTGCAGAGAAATTTGTCGTCCCTGATTTAATTCCTATGAAAATGCACAAGCTTTATTTGGGTACACTCAGTAGTACATCAGAGCAAATGTCGCTGTGCAGTTTGTGCTTGTGGCTAACTACTGCCTTGGAGTTATCCTTCACTGCTCTGCTGTAATGATAAGCAGTCATATGTTGATCCACTCTTGGAGGCTGTTGTGCCTGACTGTACTGTAAGACTCTATCAAATTACAGCAAAATTAATAGTCTGATTTCTGCCAGTGTGATAGATGATGCTTAGTATGAAAAGCAGAATACACACCACTGAAGAGAATTTTGGAGCCATGCTTACTTCTCTCCAACTACAATATTTTCACATTTTTCTCTGTACCATTGAACTGTCTTGACTGGCAAGACAGTTTCTAATTTTCTATTCTGTAAACCAGAGAAGATTCTTCATAGAGATGGTGTATATGTATGTGTGTATGCTGGCCTTTTTCCCTGATGAATAGATCTGAACATGCCATATACCACTTGAAATATCATGAACTGCAAACAAATGTAACAGTGTGGAGTTTAACATCAATCTATCAATGCCAATCAATATCACAGAGAAGGGAATAGGAGCAATGATTTCTAGATTAATTCACCTTGCAACTTCTTTAACTCTGAGTTTGAGAATGAATCTGAGTTCCTTTGCAAAAAAAAGGTAGATGGGATTTCACACAGATGTTTTTCTGAATTCCCCACTCCATTTCTTCTTTTTCTCCCTGCAGAAACCAGTGGACTTTTATTTCCTTGAATGCTGTAAATTAGTTCTAAAGGAATGGACAACTCCAACAAAAAAACCCACACAAACTTTCTGAGAAGCAAGCAAGAGAACTAGAAAAAAACAGCTTGACTTGCAAAATCTCACCTGACCGATGACTGACTCTGCTAATGCAACACTAATTTGAGACACCTTCATACATCAGGTACTGCAACCTCTCAGCACATTACTGTCTGTACAGTGTCTTTTCTTCAGTCTCCCAGTAAAGAGCGGAGCAGAGAAATCCAACTGACATTCGATTATTTATGAAAGCATCCAGATACTATATATAAAGCTAGAAACAATTTTCTTGCAAGATACTGCACCACAGCTTATTTCATTTAACAGTCCAAGCCAGGCTTAAAGCCCCCCAACCTGTTAGCATCCCATTCACACTCTGTCTGTCCCCACAGGGCAGCTGCCTGATTTAGCCTGAGTGATTAGGGTGAAGTGGTTATTTGTGCTGTGATGATCAGGGTTTCCAACCACACACTGAAGCTGTAGCTCTCCTGCTGGTATCCTTTCTGCAGGCTCAGCAAGTTTCTCCTGTGGTTACTCAGGCTGGAGGTTCATTTGCAACCATAAGGGCAAATTTCAAAATGAAATGAAGCTGTAAGGTTTGTCCTCATTACAAGAGACTGCTCCTATGCACACATCCTCCTAGCACAGGTATAACTCCCTCCAGCATGAGGGCTTTTCTCCATAAAGCAGGTCACAAAGACAAAATATAGCTGCAAAGGAATTTGTACTGAAAATTCCAGATTCTTTTTCTAGTGTGTCAAAATTCGGTCCATAAAATCTGGTGTTCACAAGTTATACTACATCAGTCTACAGGTGGCTTAAAAGACATAAAGTAACATATATATGGTGATCAGAAAAAGATCAAACCTGGCAGGCTTGCCTCCTTATCTCCTAAATGGATTCTGGTAATGCAGAAATCACAGGTTGATCTCTTTATGTGTACAGTGCATAATGCATAGCAGTGCCACACTTATTGGCATATTCAGACCTATCTACATGTGACTAGAGTGCCATAAAATGCATAGTCTTATTCATATGTATTTTTTTCTAGATCCAAGGATGTTTGTGTTGCTTTACATTACAAGTTTTGCCATCTACACAAGCGAACAACCTCTTCAAAGCCAGTTCAAAGGAGACAATTACTACACCAGATACATCTGCAGCATCCCTGGTTTGCCAGGCCCTGTGGGTCCCCCCGGAGCTGGCGGATCCCCAGGTCCACACGGACGCATTGGTCTTCCAGGAAGAGATGGGAGAGATGGCAGGAAGGGAGAAAAAGGTGAAAAAGGGAGTGCAGGTATTGAATATTTGTAAAACCTATCACAGTAGTACAACAAAGCAAGAGCTTCCATCATCACCGTTTTATATACGATGACTGTGTGTGTGTGTCTGTGCCTGTGTGAGTCTGTGTGATGTGTGAGTTCATCTATACTGAGAGAAAGAAAATATGCAGATATATTTTAAGTATGTCTAATATGCATATACTGAAGTCTGTGTAAATAAATGTAAATGCACAGCCTTCCTGCACACAGATGCTAAGAAAAAGTTTGGGGAAAATGAAGCATATGTGATAGCAAACTAATAGTGTCATTTGTGCCATCAGCCAGGAATAAAAGATTAGTGAATATTTAGGCACACACTAAAAATGCTTCAATAGTAGGCAATATTTAGTGCACAAGTATCATTATACAGGTAGCCATGCTGCTGTCCCTCCCACCAGCAGTGCCCATCCTTCAGTTGGCAATGGACTGACTATGTAAAAAATTATTCAATGTGTAATCTAGATGTATGAAGAAAAGTGGGCATATAGAAACAAAGGCCCCAGTCCTCTGTCCTAACCTGCCATTCCTTTCACAAACCTGCTAGAAGATTTTGGAAGTATTTTTTTTGAGCATTTTGAAGTTGTGACCGTGTTTTTCTTGTTTGTACAGGCATACACAGTAGTCTCCACACTCATTTACTGACATATGTGCAATGCTTAACTAACTTAAAATGTTTTTGAAGGTTTAAGAGGAAAGACTGGGCCATTAGGACCAGCTGGAGAGAAAGGAGACCAAGGCGAGTCTGGTAAAAAAGGACCTGGAGGACTGACTGGTGCCAAAGGAGAAGTAGGTCCAGCTGGACCACCTGGACCTAAGGGAGATAAAGGAGACCGTGGAGAGCCAGGCGCACCAGGGGTCTGTAAGTGTGGAAAGATAGTGCTGAAATCTGCCTTTTCTGTTGGCATCACCACCAGCTACCCAGAGGAGAGACTACCAATTATATTCAATAAAGTCCTCTTCAATGAGGGGGAGCATTACAACCCTTCCACAGGGAAGTTTATTTGTGCCATCCCAGGGATTTATTATTTTTCTTATGATATCACCTTAGCAAATAAGCATCTTGCAATTGGGCTGGTTCACAATGGGAAGTACCGCATAAAGACCTTCGATGCCAACACAGGCAACCACGATGTAGCTTCTGGATCCACAGTGATCTACCTTCAGCCAGAAGATGAAGTATGGCTCGAGATCTTCTACACCGACCAAAACGGTCTCTTTTCTGATCCAACATGGGCAGATAGTTTGTTTTCTGGATTTCTCTTATACGTTGACACAGATTACCTTGATGCTTTATCGGATGAAGATGAGCTTTGAAGCAGATGATGTTAAATGACATCCAAACTGGACATCCCAGCACAGGATTTTATCTAGCTGTGTGGGGGACACAAAGTTGAAAAAGCAAACAAACAAACAAAAGAGTTTATTTTTGCTTTGATAAGAACCAAGTCTGAGCTCCTAAGGATCCTTCTAGAGTCTAAGCTGGATTTTTTACTGAACAGCAGGGATATCAAAGGGAACTGTAATTAACAAAAGACTGCATCACTCCAGGACTGACTCTTCCTGAAAATTATGTTTATAATACTATTTAAACAAATTTAAAATGCTGTACATTGGATTTTATATAAAATCTATTAAGTTGCAATGTAGAATGGATGTTTTGTATATGACATTAAAGTAAAATTGAACAATTAATGGCAATACCATCACTGGTCATTTTAAAACACAAAATACATTAAAAACAGAGAAAACATTTTTTTTTTTTAAAAAAAGGAGAGGAATAAAATAGGAATGTCTGTTTCAGGATGCAGCTAAACAGGTCACAGGGACAGTCCCATCTCATATTTACACCAAAAAATTACATTCATAGTTAACTAACCTCCTAATAAACACATGAAGATTTGTACTAGCTGAGGACTTCCCAATGACAGTCATAAAAGAACAGAACAAGGGTATTAAATATCTAAACTCATCAAAGCCTGGAAAATATGAAAACTTGGAGACAGACAATCAGTATTCAACCTGGCTATTTTCAGTGTAATTCCAGGTGGGGTTGCTATTCTTTCAATGCTACTCAGTATCTTTATGAGAAATGTGGAATAAAATATAAACTTTTTGCCGAAGACAATTATGGATACCAAAAACCTGACAGAACAGTAATCAGTGATGAGAATAAATTATACGGAACAAACTGAGTCAAGTCATTAAAGCAGACTTACTTATATTCCATCATGGCCAAGTGCAGTGAAATAAACGTACTGCCTTCAGGAAATCAGTGAACTTGGAAAAGGTACACGGGACTTCCTGGATAATCAGCCAGCTAAATATGAGTCATCAGAGTAGGCTGTTGCTACAGCCCTTTGGATGTATGATAAATAGAATTGCAAGTAGAAAGAAAGAGTAGTTACTTATGAAGCTGCTACTTCCGCCAGTGTTTCAAAAACTTACTCAGAAATTGGAAAAAAAAAAAAAAGTCTGTCATTCTACCCATGTGGACTACACAACAGATTCAAAAAGGTCAATTTATTTTTCCTGTCAATTAAGTTAATGATTTGATCACAGTCTGCAAGTACCTGTCTGGGGATAAACTTCCTGGCAGTACTTCCTTATATCAGAAAGGAGCACAACAAGATAAACCATGACAAGCTATCAGTTCCTGTTGGGAATGAACCCATTTTACCAGTGGTGGTAATCAATTATTTGTAAAAATACCCCGGAACATCATGAGTCTTCCAGCATCCAATAACTTTAAGCCAAGACTGGTAATCTTTAATTGGGCGTGCTTACTTTCCAAGTATCTACAATCTAATTTTATTCATCCCAAATTTACAGACACCTGCTATTTCTAACAGCTATTCAGAGAGTTTCAAATGCTAGTGGCCTGTGTTGCACAACTCCTGGTCCCACTTTATTTATGACCAAAGCTGAGGGAAATTTCTGATTTTATTTTTGTGCACTTGACTTTATTAAGAAAATTACAAACAAATAAAACTAAACAAAAATACCTCAGAGACTGCAAAATGAGCACTACAGCTATGTATGGAACATTAATCTATGCACCCTGTATCTGTGCCCTCATTTCCCCACGCATTAACACTCGTGTCTTTGAGCACACGGCTGCTGCTCTGCCCAGTGAACAAGTGCAAAGTCCTGTTCACAAATCAGACTGGCACTGCCAGTACAACCCTTACTTTATTTGACAGTGAGAGATGGGGGGTAGAAGACAAAAGTGGATTGTTTTTCTAACCAGACATCTAATTTATTAGTGTTACACAAGGGCTGCTTCCTATGAAAAATATGGAAGAGAACATGTACAGATTCAGTTTACCACTGTGCTGTACAATCATTTATACATCTGCAAATTAAGTACAATATGAGTGCAAAATGCATCCCGGTTATTTACAATGACTGATGCCAACGCTTCACAACCATCAGCACCTATACAAGGCACAAAGATTATCAGCATTGCTCAGTCCTGCCTGCACTGAAATGCCACGGGACAGAATAGACAATCACATCAGACCCGTGGCTTCCAGGGAGCATACCTCAACAGGTGCAGAATTGGACCTATTCGTATGTATTATGCAGCAAAAGTAACTAATAGAAGTATTTAATTACATATTTATTTTAAGAAAAATATAGTAAGAGTTTTATGACATTTGAATCAATAGATAAGTTTATGTTAGAAGGAATAACTCAATTTTTATTAGAATTAGAAAATCCTCTATAAAGCCAAACTTAAGAAAATAGTAGGATTGATTATCTTCACACTCTACAGAAATAAATTTGGTAGTTATAGTAAATCTGGAATTTTATACACAAAAGTAATTTTTCCCAACTGAATAGAGAAAAAATAGTGCTTTCTAGTAAAATGTTCCTGGCTGCAATCCTAACTAAAAGCAAACTGCTTCCATGTAATAATCTTGTAAAAATGAATGAAATATAAAATCATATTTTAACCACACCTATGTTGAAAATGACAACATGGAAATAAGTAAACAAAGAGTTATTGCTTCCCTTAATAATTTTAGATATACGTTTGTACAGTAATAGAAAACTCATTTTAGTTTTCCTAAGTTTTCCCATTTGGATTATGTATTTATTTTAACATTTTAGTATTTTGACATGAACCATTAAAAATAAGTAATTCTACTGAGTTATTCCTATAGGTTTTGGCAAGAAGAATCATTTTACTACATGTATGGACAACATATGTATACAAGTAGCATATGTCTCTGCCCTCATTCAGGACCTCAAGACATCATCCTAAAGTAAATCATTGCTATCGCTATTATTTTAACTGAAAATAGATCAACTTTGATGACATGATATTTCATTAGGGGTATTCCTTTGTCTAAATTTGAATTTATATGGAAAATATCTTGGGTTGAAGCCTTCCCACTATATATACCAATAGGTGGGAAGGTCTGATTGGTTTCACAATGTTGTGAGATAAGAAAGAGCACAATCTCTTTGGAATTAAATTTGCAATTAATAAAATATTTCTATACAATATACATATCATTCTACACGTCATAGGCCCACATAAAATAGGTGTCCAGACCAAGTTAGTCAGCTAGACTTCATCCACAGTCAGCAGGGAGAAATTGGTATCACCAGGAGTAACACACAGTAGTTACAGACTAAGGCTGCAGGAACTCAAACAAACCTGAGACCACCAGGAAACCTTGAAACGATATCAAGAAGATCAGCATTCCTGAGCTTAATAAGTCATATATTTATAATAAGTCATATATATATTTACTTGGGATATATGTCTGTAAATATACATAAATAAAAATAAAGTTATTTGAAACAAAACAGCTCCCCACAATCTTTTACTCTTTCAGACTTTATACTTGGTAGAATGGCATCAAGGAAGAAGTCAGTCACATGTTCCATTGTTGTCCCATTTGTAACCTAACATTAAACTCCATCTTTACATTTATATGAGTGTCTTACCTGGAATAAATACCTTCACTTTCTTCACTACTGGTATTCATGTCCATATAATTACAGCCAGTTATACATGTTTTTCAGGAGCAATAGATCCTAAAGAATTTTTTACAATGCTCAGAGAACATAGAGGAAATAGTTACTAATGGATATCAGTACTGAGAACACTGTCGACATTCTTCAAAACTTTTTAAATCTACCCAATACTGTTTATGTACTTTTGGGATGGCAAAAACACGTAAAACCAACAAGCAGCTTATTTTGTTCCCCACCAAGTATGTTTCATTAGTTGGCGCAGTTCATATAATACTTCAGTTTGGTTTACCTTCCACAGGTCATCCACTAGGTTCAGTTCATATCAATTCACTAAGACATTTACTGAATAATTTACTTTTCACTGATTGGGTTCATTCATCCATTGACAGGTAATTCATACTCACAATAACTATACTGATGCTCTACTATGCAATTTGGTTAGTAGGAACTTAGCTTTACGTGGAAATGTGGCTTACTTTATATATGTATTTCAGTAGGTGATGAATCCTATCCCGAATATAATACACGAGAATAAACAGGAGAAAAAATACAGTTGAGAAAGTAGTATACTACCGTCTTTCTCAATGAGTAATAAATTGCTTTCAAGAAGCAATTTATTCCTTTCAGTATAAACCATTTAAACTTCAGCTTATAGAGCATTTAGAGGTTATATTCACCTCCCTTTAACTGCTTAAGTCAGTGCTCCAAGCTGAGGTTATGTCTGTATTTCTGAATTTCAGAGGCATGATTCTTCCTTATATCAGCATGAAAAATCTCCAAGTACTCTCATGAAATTCTCAGCCTCTGATACTTGATTTTGTCCTATCTACATGTATCAGATCAGTTGATGGAAGTTAGTACCTAAAGAAAAAAATATTAATTGGACATACTATACACATCTTTTAACAGTAAACATATAAACAATGAAAAAGGTATCTTGGATTATTTGGCATTTGGCTTACAGCCCTCAATTCTAAATATAATTATTTTTGTACGATCCAGCAGCTACCTGCTGGAAGATCTTTCCTCTATGCACACAGTTCCTGCAGGAGCAATTATTAGTATAAAATTTATCTTACCTGACTTTAATCTCTAAAAGCTCAAAGATCATTGCCTAGACTAAGTTAGTTGTAAGCTCTCCTGTCACCAGTGAAACAAATAGGTGGAGTAAATCTCTGTTTGGATGACACTGTATTGACACCAAGTTTAAGAAGAAGGAATCAGGCGGTACCTCTCTTCACACTACCTGTAACTGCATGACTAACTTAGGTTTGCCTTTAATTTCAAGATGGTAAGACTTAACTAAGATGTCTGTGGGAAATTTAGCATAATTTAATTTGGCAATTTATATGTTTTACAATTAGAGAGAAGATGTAGATTGATGAGAACATAGAAGTACCCTTATAATGCTGGAAGTCACCTCTTGTCAGACCTTTCATAAAGTATTGCTCAAGTTCCTCATGGGACAACTTTAACTGCAGTAACTTGGCTGTCCTCCAAAAAATTTTATAGTGTATTAGGATGGGCTAGATAATTCTCTCATGCTTCCAAGTCCAAAACACTTAAAGTGCAGAAAACCCAAATGTATCCTGGGGGGTTTCTATTTATAAAAAAAAAAAAAAAAAATTGTTTCTTTTCAACTTTAAAGCACCTGTCAAAATCCTAAGCACAATAGAAAGCATAACACAATATTTA